TGTTTTGAATTATATTTATATTTCCAGAAAGCCCTGCAATATTGGTGCAAATTAAGATTAACAAATATCACATCTCTCTTAACGTACTTTAAATGCACTTATTTGTTGATGGATTGACCGATTGATTTATATGTGATCCCCTTTTTCTATCATTTTTTAAATTTTATTTTAATTGTAAAGTTGCATAAGCCCGTATTATAATTGTGGCTACAACAAATTATGATATGGTTATTGAATGTTTATTAAGAGAAATAGTATAGATTTATAGAATTTTAAACAGAAACGTCTAATGTTAACCCAAGATTTACCCACTGAACTTCTGCATACTTATTAGTCTCCGATTGAATGTAAGGATTGACAGTGAAGTTAAGCAAATTTGATTGCATCATGTTTTTAATCCATTTTTAAATAGTGTCGACAATTTCTATCACACTAAGTACTTTAACCCCTTAAGGACCAAACTTCTGGAATAAAAGGGAATCATGACATGTCACACGTCATGTGTCCTTAAGGGGTTAAGTATGTGTTAACATTATACTATGATATAACTCCAATCTGTGATATGTTTGAGCTCAAGTGTCACACTGTGATATGGAAGACTTTTAACACATTAAACTTAGTACAATATATACTGTTTATGGTTTTAAAAGTTTTTTTGAACTTTGAACTCATCTGTGAAGACTAGTAAATCAACCTTGTATGTTAGTTCTGTATTGTTCCTTTATATAGGATCTATCTGAAATGCTAATGGTACTAATGTTGCGTCTGTAATGACATTAGTGAGCTTAAGCTTGTTTCAGACCTCCTGAATGGTAACTATAGGACACCCTATACATACATGGGGTGGAGCTATAGGGCTGAGATACAATATAAATCTGTAAAAATACAAAGATGAAAAGAAATAGTGCAATATTGTCAAGATAAATAGTATATAAACCAAAAGCAGTAAGAGTGTTACCCACAAGCATGGAGCCAATAATAACATATGGCTCAGATGGTACACATTCTCTCACACACTAACAAATTATATATTTATTTTAATTATTTTTATTTAAATCTATCCAGCATACTTTTGGGAGAAGTGGAGTGGATTCTATCCTGGCAGGGCCGGTGAAATGATTTTTGCCACCCCCCTCCCCCAATATGCTCTGCCCACCATGTGACATTACAATACCCCACCCATATGATCTGCCATATGAGCCAACGCCAGTGCTGCACACAGTGTCTTTTCTCTGAAAAGGCAGTGTGTTTACATTCTAAAGCCTGCAGGGACAGACTATAGACACCAGAACCACTACATTAAGCTGTATTGATTCTGGTGACTACAGTGTCCCTTTAATGTGAGGTAAATTAGAGATTAGTGCCACTAATAATATACTGGATTGCCTATTTACCACCAGATGAGGACAAGAGGATGATGATGGGCTCAGGCTGCAGTCTGGCTCCACTGGTCTGGTGTTAAAGCAGGCTCTCTGGAAGCAGTGCTCACAAAAAATCAACGAACAGGAAGCAGCTCCATTTTTTTGGACCCCTTACACAGATCACGGTCTGGGCCCCCAGGGCCTGACCGTGAGTATGCCTATTAGGCCTGCCCATAAGCCTTATGCTTAAAAGGCCCACCCATGAGTTCGCTCACAGGGAGTGGAGTGTATGTGTGTAGGGGATGTGTTATGTGTTATTGTAGAGGATGTAATGTGTGTGTGTTCTTATGAAATGTAGTGTATAGTGATACCAGTTTGTGTAAGGGATGTAGTGTGTGTGTGTGTGTGTGTGTGTGTGTAAGGGATGCATTGTGTGAATCTGTGTTTGTATGTGTAAGGGATGCATTGTGTGTGTGTGCATGTAATGGATGCATGGTGTGTTTCTGTGTGAGTGTAGGATGCATTGTATGTTTCGGTGTGTCTTTATGTGAGTAGGGATGCATTGTATGTTTTTGTACATGTGTGTGTAGGCATGCATTGTGTGTTTCTGTGAATGTGTAAGGATGCATTGTGGATGTGTGTAGTGTCTTAGTGATCTTCCCTCCCCTCCTGTCCCTTTGTGATCTCACCTGCTCCCCTGTCTCTTAGTGCTCCTCCCTGCATCCCCATCCCTTATTGCTCTCCCCTGCTCCCCTGTCCCGTAGTATTCTCCACTGCTGTGCGACCGTCTAAGTCAACTATAGGACAGGCCGGCCCCGATCCCTGAGGTCCAGTGGGATCCTTTCCCTAGGATCTAGTGTGGCTGCTGTTATCTTCATGGTTTTCTTGCCCTCACATGCTGTTTAATGATGCCGAGGCTTGAGTGACCAGATAACCAGGCTCCCGGCATTACCACATGGCGTGCAAGGACACAGTGCTGGAAGATCACAGAAATTACAGCCTCCTGTCCACCCATCTACAGCCTACCAGCCAGCCAGCTCTTGGTGTACCACCAGCTTTTGGTGCAAGTACCCTGTACCACAAGTTGAAAAACCAGGTTGTAATATATTGGAGTCATCTAAATTCCAACATATTATTTATTGCTTTACAAGCTCACAAACAGAGAAACATTAAAAATACATGAGAAACAAATGTATACATAAGTAGCTGGCTATATGGTCTTGTGTTCATGCCTGGAAAAATAAATGTGATCAGTTATTTTAGGTATAATTTATAGTGTCAGAATTTAATGTAATTATTGTTTTTTTAAGTTGTTTATTTCTGGCCTGACCTTGAAGAATTATGTTTTCTGGCAGGTCCGATGTAAAGAAAACAAATAACTTTGAAATAACACCTCGTAAAATGTTAGTTTCTGTCTTCTAAATATGCAGAAAATGAGAAAATGTCACAGGGAATGTTGTTCTATATTTACTTTCAGCACCATGTGACTTAACGTTATTGAACGTTGTAGACAAAGGAAAGGAGGATTCCTGTATGTCTCCAGGTAGAATAGTAGAAGTCAGTTAATACCTAATGTATATATCAAAGTTAAAGTGGAAAGATTTAATAATAATAAAACGGTGAGACTTCTCTAGTTGAATGACTAGATACGGCCCAAGCGTCTTGCAGATGCATCAACTTCTCAGCGTCGGAAAAAGCAAATGTTGGTGCAATGTAGTCCAGTGTTTGGTGGCAAGGAGCAGTGGAGGTATTGGGCTCGGCAAGGACATGACAGGAACAGTCAAACTTTGAACATAGATATACTATTTTTAAAGTTAGTTGTCTTCCTTACTATGTTTAGATTCAGGGTGCCCTATTGATTAGTTTACAAAAATAAAAAAGTTTTAAAAATCCTTTAAACTTACCTGTAATCCAGTCTTCTCAAAATACAGAGAAGCAATACAGACCTATTGTATATGCACAACAAAAATAAGCTGTGAAGTGAAGTGACTCAATAGACTGCCTGTCTGACAGTCACTAGAGGTGTGTTTTTGGATAACTATAAATATTAGCGTTTCTGACAAACGGGCAGCAATGTCCAAGAAAAGGGACTGTACTTATGCACCAAAACCACAAGATGTGATGATTTTGGTAATTAGTATGTCCCTATCAAACCTTGCATTGGTAGATGTTTGGCTGCTTTTGGAACTTTGTAAAATAAGTATATTTTGTGTCATTGCATGTGGTTGTGGTCTGGACCTGAAAAGCAAAAGCGATTCACAACAGTGTTAGAATTATTTGATAAAAAGTGCACATTATACAATTACTAATGATTTGCCCAAGTCAGTGGTGTGTAACACATACCTAATCCTTGTTAGGGTAGTGCATTTCCATTCCCCAACCATTCGTGTCCCATAAAGCGCATGGTCGTGGTAAAATGGCATTACTGGTTCAACTCTAAGGGAAGAAAGGCATGTCAGCCAGGTGTGAATGCACACCATACTGACTGACAATCCCTGACAATCATGCAGGCACTCCCATGAAGCATGAGCCATGCAGAGAGCTGCTCTCTGCTTGGGCCTAGTGCCCCTAGAACAGTATGGCCGCATCTAATGATGCTCTGGTGCTACACTTTCTGGGGGAAGTTCCCCGGTGTTCCTAAAAGTGGGACATCAGGAAACAAGCCCAGGTTGACGGACCAAGACACTGAAAAAGGGGGACAGTTGGGCAGCCTCGCAATTCACATATTTTACAACTGCTGGTTTCAGGCATTCCCTTTTGGGACTGCAATAGAGGGTTTGAGGATATTACTACAGACTAATAATACTTGTTTCTGGTTAGGATATGTCTTATTTCTGCAAGTTGAGATATACAGTCTGAGACAGTGTTATGGCGCCCGCTGAACACGCTCCAGTCAGAAAGCAGTTTTGGAACCCAATGGGTGCACCTTGTTGCATTGAGTTCCCATGTGGAAATAGACACACTGCCTGTGGGCCCTGTCTTGGTTCCAACAAGCGAGCATCATGCTCCTTCCTTCACGCAGAGGCCGGGTCTGCAATCTTTAGAGATCCCGTCCACTGCGAGTCAGAGCTCTTTAAGGCTCCCAATTAACCCTTCAGTCCCTGACTCTTGGGAACGTGCATGTGACGTCACACACGCACGTTCTGATGTTACATGTTCCTCAGCAATCATAGAGAATCTTAGGCTATTTAAGCCTTTTAAAAAAAATTCTCAGTGCCCTGTCATGGTTTCCATTGTGGTTATTTAAAAAAATAAATCTTTATTTTAATTGTGCAGGTTAATAACAAAGATTGCGCAATATACACTAGGTAGTGAACGTAGGCTCAGCATGTGAGGTATAGAACTGTATATATACATCAGCACATTTTAAAAATTTTTTTTCCAAGAGTAAGAACAAGAAAGGTACAGTGTAAATACAAGTATGTCAAACAATCTGTATGCACAAAGTAAGTGAGTGAGTAACTGTGGCTGTAACAGGTAGAGTTAAGATCTCCAGGGGGCTCCCTCCAGGACAGTTGTCAAGGAGTAGGGAAAAGTAGTGTGAGAAGTTAAAGTAATACAAAGCCTGCTATGGGGATTTAACAACAGAATGTGAGGGCTGTGTAACAGTAAAGCAAGTGTCCAACCATTGTTGATAGGTTAGGCAAGTAAAGGGTACACTACCAGGTTGAGAGACACTCCCAGGACATCTGTCAACCCATGCCATACAGGGGCCAAGCAAAGTCCTGTATCATGCAGACAAGCCCATTCACACTGAGGCAGAAGCTGAATTCCAGCTTGGAGGTAGGGCGGACTTGGGTGTGCCATCATATGGGCCTCCATGATCCAGGAAGCCGTCTGTGGGCAATCACTGCCCCTTGAGAAATCCAGAGTCTCTGACTCTAGGGTGGGCTCCTGCTGGCATTGTCTTTCCAGGCGGGCCGGTGTCAGGGATGTAACCACGACCTTCCATTCGACCACATGGGTGGCTCCAAGGCGAGATTCAGTCAGGGTCTCCAAAGCTATAGGGCGCAGATGAGCTTCCAGCCTACTCGCTGCTACGGCCTGGGGAGCACATGGCCTCTGCCATCTTGTGCCATCTTGTGCGTTATGTTGCCACCTGACTCAAGCTCCAGCGACTGGGCCGCGTTCTCACCATATTGCAGGGGAGCCTCCTGAAGGTAGATCAGGATAATCCCTGCCGGTCCAGAGGATTGTAGGCCGCAAGAGAAGTGCAGGTGAGTACCATATTGAAGGTTGCTTGTATGGTACCATTTTGAGCACCCTAGTGTCACCTCTCTTCAGGAGTCGATTTATTGCCATTTTTCAGCAGAATTCTGACGTTTTTGCCTCTTAGAGCAGGAGCTGCAGCAGCTAGCGTCCGCTTGGCTTAGTGGTCAGGCATGGCCCCCTCCTTTCCCCCATTGTGCTTATCTGAGTGCGTGTTTATGGTATTGTTTCTTGTGTATTTTGACTTTGGCTTGTTATTTGACTATTCTGACTACTATATCCTTGACCCTTGACCTTTGGCTCATTATTTGACTATTCTGACTTCTTTATTCTTTAACCTTTGGCTTGCCAACTGTTTACTCATATAGATATTAGATTCTGGGAAAGACATCCATCCAAATATAAACTCAAACATCTTGAGGTAAGGTTGGCCCCAGACCAACAGTTCCAGACAATTTCCCCAATGCTTATGATGAATGCATGCAATAGGGCTTACCCATACAGCGCTACGGAATTTGCTGGTGCTATATAATAATAATAAAATAATATAAAAGAGGCTAGTAAGGTATTTAGTAGAAAGGAGTCCCTTTTTTTTGTGGGCTAAAAGGGAATTTTTACAATTAATTTTTCCTCACTAAAAGGGAATTTATATAATTAATTTGTCCTGAGACCTGAAAACTCACTCCCTAATTGCTGTAAAGGACTGATCTTCAGTGGTGTCTATGTCATTATATAAAACTGCTAAAAAAATTAGCTCTACCCCTTCTCATCTGGTGAGAGACAAAGATCATACAGGTGATACTCGAAAAACTAGAATATTGTGCAAAAGTTCATTTATTTCAGTAATGCAACGTAAAACGGGAAACTAATATATGAGATTGACGCATTACATGCAAAGCAAGATAGTTCAAGCCGTGATTTGTCATAAGTGCAATGATTATGGCTTACAGCTCATGAAAACTCCAAATCTACAATCTCAGTAAATTAGAATATTACATGCAATCAATAAAACAAGGAGTGTACATAGAACAATATCGGACCTCTGAAAAGTATAAGCATGCATATGGACTCAGTACTTGGTTTGGGCCCCTTTTGCAGCAATTACTGCCTTAATGCGGTGTGGCATGGAAGCTATCAGCCTGTGGCACTTTTGAGGTTTTATGGAAGACTAGGATGCTTCAATAGCGGCCTTCAGCTCTTCTGCATTGTTCGGTCTCATGTCTCTCATCTTTTTCTTGGCAATGCTCCATAGATTCCCTATGGGGTTCAGGTCAGGAGAGTTTGCTGGCCAATCAAGCACAGTAATCCCACGGTCATTGAACCAGGCTTTGGTGCTTTTGGCAGTGTGGGCAGGTGCCAAGTCCTGCTGGAAAATGAAGTAAGCATCCCCATAAAGCTTATCTGTGGAAGGAAAAATGAAGTGCTCCAAAATCTCCTGGTAGGTGGCTGCATTGACCCTGGACTTAATGAAACACAGTGGACCAACACCAGCAGATGACATGGCTCCCCAAATCAACAGACTGTGGAAACTTCACACTGGACTTCAAGCATCTTGCAGCGTGTGCCTCTCCATTCTTCCTCCAGCCTCTTGGTCCTTGGTTTCCAAATGAGATGCAAAAGTTGCTCTCATTAGAAAAGATGTCTTTGGAGCACAGAGCAACAGACCAGGTCTGTTTTTCTTTAGCCCAGGTAAGACGCTTCTGGCATTGTTTGTTGTTCAGGAGCGGTTTGACAAGAAGAATACGACAGCTGAAGCCCATGTCCAGGATCCGTCTGTGTGTGGTGGCTCTTGATGCACTGACTCCAGCCTCAGTCCACTCCTTGTGAAAGTCCCCAACACATTTGAATGGCCTTTTCCTGACAATCCTCTCCAGGCTGCAGTCATCCCTGCTGCTTTTGCACCTTTTTCTTCCACACTTTTCCCTTCCACATAACTGTCTATTAATGTGCTTTGATACAGCACTTTGGGAACATCCAACATCCTTCGCAATTACCTTTTCAGGCTTTCCCTCCTTATGGAGGGTGTCAATGATGGTTTTCTTCACAACTGTCAGGTCAGCAGAGACCATTTAAAGGACCACTCTAGGCATCCAAACCACTTCAGCTTAATGAAGTGGTCTGGGTGCCAGGTCCAGCTAGGGTTAACCCATTTTTTTATAAACATAGCAATTTATAAAAAAAACTGCTATGTTTATAAATGGGTTAATCCAGCCTCCAAATCCTCTAGTGGCTGTCTCATTGACAGCCTCTAGAGGCGCTTGCGTGCTTCTCACTGTGAAAATCACAGTGAGAAGACGCAAGCGTCCATAAGAAAGCATTATGAATTCAGCCGAAGAGGAGGATCGGAGGCAGAGAGCTCCCCGCCCGGCGCTGGAATAAAGGTAAGTTTAACCCCTTTCCTCACCATCCAGCCCGGCGGCAGGGGGACCAGCAGGACTTGGCACCTGCCCACACTGCCAAAAGCACCAAAGCCTGGTTCAATGACCGTGGGATTACTGTGCTTGATTGGCCAGCAAACTCTCCTGACCTGAACCCCATAGGGAATCCACGCAATGCATTCCTTACACACATCAGGACATCCCCCACACACACACTCCACTCCCTGTGAACAAACTCATTGGTGGAACATGAAGGTGGACCCTGGGACCCAAACCTCGAGCTGTGTAAAGGGCCCTCAAAAAATGGAGCTGCTTCCTGTTCTCCCGGAACAGTGATTTTTGTGACCACAGTTACAAACCGCCTCCAGAGAGCCTGTTCTACACCAGACCAGTGGAGCCAGACGGCAGCTAGAGCCCATCATCATCCTCATCTGGTTGTAAGTAGGCAATCTAGTATATTATTCGTGGCACTAATCTCTAATTTACCTCACATTAAAGGGACACTAGTGATGTCGCGAACATGAAATTTTCGGTTCGCGAACGGCGAACGCGAATTTCGGCAAATGTTCGCGAACCCGCGAACCGGGCGAACCGCCATAGACTTCAATAGGCAGGCGAATTTTAAAACACACAGGGACTCTTTCTGGCCACAATAGGGATGGAAAAGTTGTTTCAGGGGACTAACACCTGGACTGTGGCATGCCGGAGGGGATCCATGGCAAAACTCCCATGGAAAATTACACAGTTGATGCAGAGTCTGGTTTTAATCCATAAAGGGCAGAAATCACCTAACATTCCTAAATCACAATGAATATGGATTGACACCTGACATATGACATATTGACACCTTGACATATGGATTGACACCTGTCCTCAGAGCCCCTGATGCACACGGACACAGAGCAGAATAGGGACGGTTCCCCCTACATAGGGTCACTTGGCAGATATGGATTGACACCTATCCTAAGGATCCCTGATACACACTGACAAAGAGCAGAATAGAGACTGTTCCCCCTACATAGGGTCACTTGGCAGGTATGGATTAACACCTGTCTTCAGAGACCATGATACACACTGACACAGAGCAGAATAGAGACTGTTCCCCCTACATAGGGTCACTTGGCAGATATGGATTGACACCTGTCCTCAAAGCCCCTGAAACACACTGACACAGAGCAGAATAGAGACTGTTCCCCCTACATAGGGTCACTTGGCAGATATGGATTGACACCTGTCCTCCAGAGACCATACACACTGACACAGAGCAGAATAGAGACTGTTCCTCCTACATAGAATTCCTTAACTTGAATATGGATTGACGCACCTGTCCTCAGAGACCATGATGCGCGCAACTGGAGCAGAATAGAGACTGTTCCCCTACATAGGGTCACTTGGCGAATGGATTGACACCACCATTCTAAGGATCCTGATACACACTGACACAGAACAGGAGGACTGTTCTCTACATAGGGTCACTTGGCAAATATGGATTGACACCAATGTCACTCAGGATCATGATACACACTGACACACAGAACAGAATGGAGACTGTTCCCCTAGGTCACTTTGCAGATATGGATTGACACCTGTCCTCAGAGACCATGATACACACTGACACAGAGTAGAATACCCCGAGACTGTTCCCCTACACTAGGGTCCACTTGACGAATATGGATTGACACCTGTCCTCATGGCCCCTGATACATACTGACACAGAGCAGAATAGAGACTGTTCCTCCTACATAGGGTCACTTGGCAGATATGGATTGACACCTGTCCTCAGAGATCAGGATACACACTGACACAGAGCAGAATAGAGACTGTTCCCCCTACATAGGGTCACTTGGCAGATATGGATTGACACCTGTACTCAGAGATCATGATACACACTGACACAGAGCAGAATAGAGACTGTTTCCCCTACATAGTGTCACTTCGCAGATATGGATTGACACCTGTCCTAAGGATCCCTGATACACACTGACACAAGAGCAGAATAGGGACTATTACCCTACATGAGGTCACTTGGCGAATATGGCGTGGTCATGGGAGGAGGAGGATGACTTCCACCTTTCCCCCTGTTAGATTCCCGTTGTGCTGTGACATCACCCTTATACGCTGTGTAAAGCATACTTTTCAATTTGTTTTGCAAATGCTGCATCCTTTCATACTTGTTGTAATTCGGTAACATTTCCGCCACTTTCTGCTTATACCGGGGGTCTAGTAGCGTGGACACCCAGTACAGGTCGTTCTCCTTCAGCCTTTTTATATGAGGGTCCCTCAACAGGCCCGACAGCATGAAAGACCCCATTTGCACAAGGTTGGATGCCGAGCTACTCATTTCCCATTCCTCCTCCTCACACAGAGCGGAATAGGGACTGTTCCCCCTACATCGGGTCACTTGGCAGATATGGATTGACACCTGTCCTAGGGATCCCTGATACACTGACACAGAGCAGAATAGGGACTGTTCCTCCTACATAGGGTCACTTGGCAGATATGGATTGACATCTGTCCTCAGAGACCATGATACATACTGACACAGAGCAGAATAGAGACTGTTCCCCCTACATAGGGTCACTTGGCAGATATGGATTGACACCTGTCCTCAGAGCCCCTGATACACACTGACACAGAGCAGAATAGAGACTGTTCCCCCCTACATAGGGTCACTTGGCAGATATGGATTGACACCTGTCCTCAGAGACCATGGTA